TCTAAACTGAGGAGGAAAAAATAAAAACTACAGCATATGTAATAAATTTATGTATACATACAGGTGAACATGTACATACACAGATGCAATCCATATGATATTTGACATACAGTTAGTAACAAGGGCATTTCACTACATAGAGCTGTTTATTTTGCAAACTGCATAGTTTACAGGATTTCAGCTCATATAAATTATCATGCACCATGCATGTCAAGATAAGCTACTTTTGCCCTTTAGTCAGATCTATGTGTAGGTGCAGGTCATGCAGGTTTTTTAAAATGTTCTTTTGTTAAAATTTTTCACTTCATTGTTGTGTGTGTATGGCACACAGTTGGATACATTAACCAAGGACTGGTGAGATCCTTGAATTAATCCAGAGTTGTAAGCAGACAGCAAGGTGACATCTTCTCGTTAATGACCTTGCCGTGACCTTTGCCTTATTTTGTTATTTTGTTTAGTGGGGTTTTTGTCTTTTTTTTAAAGTGTGGGTTTCTTTGGAAAGATAGTACAACCAAAAGCATCTAGCAAAAAAAAAAAAAAAAAAAAGTGTGTATGGGGAAAATCTATAACAGCAGGTATCTAAGAACAACCAAACTACAAGTCAGCAGATTACTCGTTATGTTAGCTCATGCCTCAAGGAAGAATATTAGCTTGTTTGCCCGTAAAGGAACCAAGCGTTCAAATATACACACAGGGGGAAGGCAGCTTTTTAGTTATAGGTCATGCAACAACAAAAAAGATACAGAAACAGGTAAAACAAAAGAAATTAAATATATTGGTTAGGAAGTTGCAAGGTCCGCCACGCAGTCTATGGTGGTGGAAAGAGCTCACGGCAAAGTCAACCAGTAGTGTCATGTTCCCCTGCTGCTTTCAACTCTTAACTCATGTTTCTTGGTTCAAGAGAAGCTTCATACCTGCCAAATTTGGTGGGTCTCTCAAAATCTCATTTTTTGGCCTTTGTTTGGTTAGATAGGTCAGACGGCCGAGGAAAAGTTGTGAAGGTGCTGAAGCTTGGTGCTGTTTGGAGCAAGAGGCCGAAGCCGGAGTGCGCACGCCGATTGCGCGGCAACCTCCCAACCGGGAACGGGATAGCAGAGAAAGCAGGCATAATGAGGACGAAGCACACCCAAAGAGTCATGGGATTATCAAAGGCAAATTAGGTTACAGACCAGACTGCTTGCTTGGTTTTTGCCATTGGCAGCACCTCAGAGAATGCCACCCAGTTCCTCCAACGCTCAAAGACTAGCAGCTATTACAACGAATACAAGAAATAGGCTAGATACAAAAGTGGTGCATAACCTCATCTGTAAATCATTTCAGTGGTGGGTGTGGCACAACCCATCTGCATTTAGTACAACGCACATTCAGTAGCCACTTCTTGTCTACATCTCCTGCTGAGTCCCACTGTCACATGAAAGTCATATGTGGGTCCTGCAGCTCAGCAGGCCTGGGATGGAAGTTTCCAACCCTGCTGTACCCAGCTCAGCATAGCCTGGGACCCTGCAAGCCCAAACAGCAGCTGGGCTTTATCAGCTCTAACCCACGCCTTGAGCTGGGAAACTACTATGTGGTAAATAAGTTTGACCTCCGTCTCAGCCCATAAGAGTGATAAGAATGGTGTTGAGCCAGGTACGTGCACACCCGATAAACAACTGCAGTTTAACTAGTGTAGGGAGTCTCATGTCCATTGAGTTCCACCAGGAACCTAAACCTGAAAGGGTGTCCTGAATCCCCCTAGCTGGAGCCAAGTCCACTGCGGCCAGGTGCGAGGTAACCAGAACAGGACTCCCTGCAGACCTGAAAGGGCGTAAGCATTTCCAAGTGCCTGTTACTCTTATATGCATTGCTTTGCCTATGTTGATTGTTGTATTACTTTGCAGTAGCTGTGTAACCATCGGGCAGCATTAAGCCTGTAATAGTAGTGACGTAGTGAGATTAATAAAAACAACTATCTATCCCTAATTGATTCTGTCTTGAAGCGAATCCACAACCCTGTTGGGTCCTGGCCCTGTGACTTGCCACCCATGCATACAGTGGCTGCATTGTTGTTAGCACTTTCCCTTCTATCTATACACTTGAATGATCACTGAACATTTTATTTAGATACAAATGATTCCATGGATGGGGGAAATAGTTGAACCTGTGATGAGATATAGCATCAAATGAAGCACTAGTATTGCAGCATTACTGTTTTATTGATACCACATATCTTTGATTAGAAGTTGTGGCTTCTATTAAATTGGATTGCTTTCCCCTCCAGCTTATATGGTAATGACGTGTCGTGATGATGTAGCTACAAACTTAATCATTAATTTATTGGACTCCATTGCTTTTTCTGGATCCTTGAAGATGCTAGAAAGAAGGCATCTTGTAATTTAATGGTGCAAGCTACAAGAGAATAGTGACTACACTGTTGATCCCCTGTAAATGAGTTAAGGCAATCATGGAATAGGCTTGCTTGCGTATAATTCAAAATCGCACAGAAGGATAGAACTACCCCTTTCCTTAGCTGGATGAACTCTCATTTGTTTTCTTTTTTAAATGTCACCTGAGAATATTGCACTAACCCCTCTCTTTTTACTGCGTGGTATAGAGGACACAGAACACCGTTCGCCTTTGCCAAGAGGTGGAATCGAAATCATAAACCTGTAAAAACCTGACAAGACTTTGTTCTGATGAACGTTGGCTTTCCAAGACCCTTTGTAAGGGAGAAAGAAGAGGACAGAGGGTGGAAAAGGGCAGGAACATAGTCATTTTTAACCAAAGTCCCTTGCAGAACGTTATTTGTGTCATTGTCTACTAGCAAGATGTAAACACAGCTTCTGGGATTAAATGAAGAGAGACCATACATTTGGGACTGTTATGATACTTACCCTTCTGTTCATTGTATCATAATTATACCATAATTAAAAAACAATCAGAACAGGTTAAAACATCAGCGTTCACACAGTACTGCAGTCAAAGCAGATAAGGTAAATATATGATGAACACAGAAGTCTTGGTTTATAAACAGAGCAAAGGCCTTCTCATCAGGTGGACTTTTTAGCTAGTGCTCTTATATTCTCACTGCAAAGTGTTTAAAAATCCCATGGTGGTTTTTTTTCCTTTAAATTTTCATCAAAATGGCATTCACTCCTTGAGTAACAGTAATTTATGTCACCATTACATATATGCACAGCAGAAAGAATTAAATGGCAAACACCATTAGAAAACAGTACTTAGAATGAACATTCCTTTATTCACTACAGATTCCAGAGCCAGGATTGGACATTTCTCACGGAGTCCCCAGGGGGAATGAATATTGTCTCACCAGGATTAATCCAGATATTATACAAGATCTGTTTTCTGGCTTTGCTGCATATTGCCACTACTCTTTTGAGTTCTTTCACCCATTATCTCAACAGTGCTTTTGTTGTATTGATTGGGAGCAAAAGGGAAACCATGGGAAACCATGACATGACATCTCCCTGTGTCTAACTGAATGACTCTTCTTAATATGTCCACCTCTTGTACTGCACTATGCTTCATTCTAGATGCAACTGCTTTGTTATGTTGGTGGAGCAGGAAGGAAAGAAACTCTTCTAGCACCTTGTTTCCTGCCAGAAGATCTCAAATTCAGCAGTTAATATTTCTTATGTTGTGCTCTAGCAAAGAAGAGATGATTGCTTCTCTGAGCTTGCTACTGTCCTGATCAGGACTATTGTGCATCAGAACAAAAATTGTATTTCTCTTCTGCTTCCCAATGCATAGCTTCTAGTTATACTTTCTACAGATGCCAAAGACCTGTGGATTTGCTCTTTGCTTCTAAGCAAATGGATGAGTGGTATAATTAAATTTCCATTGCACATTCATAGCCAGGAGAACACATCAGAAACTAGCACTCAATGAGTGACATGGTTAAATGTCCAAGGCTATGTCTAGACTGGTATGATTTTCCGCAAATGCTTTTAACGGAAAAGCTTTTCCGTTAAAAGCATTTGCGGAAAATCATACCAGTCTAGACATAGCCTTGGACATTTAACCATGTCACTCATTGAGTGCTAGTTTCTGATGTGTTCTCCTGGCTATGAATGTGCAATGGAAATTTAATTATACCACTCATCCATTTGCTTAGAAGCAAAGAGCAAATCCACAGGTCTTTGGCATCTGTAGAAAGTATAACTAGAAGCTATGCATTGGGAAGCAGAAGAGAAATACAATTTTTGTTCTGATGCACAATAGTCCTGATCAGGACAGTAGCAAGCTCAGAGAAGCAATCATCTCTTCTTTGCTAGAGCACAACATAAGATTTTGCACAAAAGCAGCTGCTTTTGCGGAAAAGCTTGCCAGTCTAGACGCAGCCCAAGTGTAATGCATACTTAAGGTCAAGTGCACCAGGCTGTAAATGTGTTACACATTCAGTAAACTAGGACACCAACGGTATCTTCATATACCAGCTAGATATAAAGGAACTAAACAATAGTTTAATTCTAGAGGTAGCAAAG